ATTGAATACAAAGAAGTAATTTAACCTAAATATAAAAAGACTATATATAAGCTAAACAAAGAGAAAGTAAAGAACTATTCTACCCGTAATAAACAAAATAACCAATAACCCTATATTTCTTAACATCTCTCCTCAAACTCACGATGCGGCAGTTACAAGCATCGAGAGTTTGCCAACTAGAAAACGAAAATAAGAAATAGAATGCGACTTGGTAAAGAAATCTGCAATCTGCAAAGAAGAAGAAACAAAGAACAAAGTAATGGTGTCATGCTTGAAATGATGACGAGTAAGGTGACAATTGATCTCAATGTGCTTAGTTCGTTCATGAAAAATCGAGTTGTGAGCAATCTGAATAGAACTCTGGTTGTCACAATACATAGGAGTGGGATGAGAAAGAGAAACTCTCATATCTGCAAGTAACCAATGTAACCAAACAATCTCTTGGTAGTAGATTTCATAGCATGATATTCTGCTTCGGTTGAAAATTGAGAAACAATAGATTGTTTCTTGCTCTTCCAAGAAATAAAAGAGTCACCCAAAAAGATACAGAAACCAGTAACAGACTTGTGATCTGTGGGATCACTGCCATGATTAGCATCAAAGTATGCACACAACTCCAAGGAAGAGGTGGATGGAAGTAAAAGACTCTGAAAGACTGTACCCCGAAGATATCGCAAAATACGAAGAACAGATGTCCAATGAACTGTAGTAGGAAAAGTAACAAACTGACTAACAACATGAACAGCATATGCAATATATGGATGAGTAATAATGAGATATACCAAACTCCCAACAATAGTACGGTAAAAAATAGGATCTGACAAAGGTAAACCATCAGAAGAAAAACATTTGTGTTAACCTCAATGGGAGTATCTACAGTCTTATTATCACTAAGTCGAGCTCGCTCAAGAATATCTGTAACATATTTCGACTGAGAAAAAAAATAACATCTAGGTGAGCAGGCTACCTCAATACCCAAGAAATATCATAGAGAATCCAAATCCTTCATGTCAAACTATCTAGCTAACTCTGTCTTCAAAATTGAAATACCGTCAATATCATCACCAGTAATAATCATGTCATCAACATATAAAGACAGAATGATACGACCTACATCAGTGTACTTAACAAAAAGAGCAGAATCATGACTATTAGAGGTAAATCCAAGAGAAGATATCACAACAGAAAGTTTCTCGAACCAAGCACGAGGTGCTTGTTTGAGACCATATAACACTTTCTTGAGCTTGCAAACATACCCAGAATCATGTCAAATACCAGGAGGGGATGTCATACAAACTTCTTCTTGAAGATCTCCATTCAAGAAGACATTTTTAACATCAAGTTGAGAGATATGTCACTGACGAACTGAAACAACTGCAATAAGAGTACGAATAGTAGTCAATTTTGCAACAGGAGCAAATGTCTCCTCATAATCCATACCATAATGTTGAGAGTGCCCTTTTGCAACCAGCCTAGCTTTGTATCGCTCAACAGATCCATCAGAATTAGTCTTGATCTTATACACCTAACGACAACCAACAACACTCTTACCAGGAGGTAGAGGAACCAAATCCCAACTACATGTCTTTTACAAAGCAGAAAGTTCCTCATCCATAACTTGCTGCCAAAGAGAATCAAAAATGGCCTCTTTATAGGAAGAAGGCTCAGAGAGACAATGAATAAAAGCTAAAAAAGAAGTAAAAGATGAAGAATAACAAGAATAAGCAAAATTTGGTAACTTTGTGGACTTACAAATGCGCATGGATTGATGTAGAGGTTGATCCACTATCTCAGATGAAGCTTAAGGGATCATAGGAGAAGAGGTGGCTTCAGGTGTGTCAGAGAGTAAAGTGTCAGTACCTGCAGAAGGATCAGTACGAATTGGTCGAGTATAATGTAAAGGTAACAGGGTAAAAACATGAGAAATGGTATTTGAAGTACTAGAAATCTGAGATGACAAACTATCAGAATCCTCAGAAAAAGGATCTATACGAATAAAATCAGATCTAATCAAGCTATGAATAGTGGATGGAATAGAAAAGAAAGGTATATGCTCGAGAAAAATAACATGACAAGACACATCAAGTTTCTGAGTTATTGGATCAAAACAACGATACTCCTTTTTACCTTCACCATGACCAAGAAAGACATCGAGAAGACAGCTTGTTACGTTCAACATGAGGACGAAAAACGAAACAAGTACAACCAAAAACTCTAAAGGAAGAATAATCAGGGGCATACCCATACAACTTTTCGAAAAGAGAAACACTTGAAATATGAGAAGATGAAATTGTATTAATCAAACCTACAGCGGTAAGAACAGCTTCCCCCAAAACTCACTAGGAACAGAAGCAGACAACAAGAGAGAACGAGCAGTTTCAATAATGTGCCTATGTTTTCTTTCAGCAACACCATTTTGCTCAAGAGTATCTGTACACGAAGTTTGGTGAATAGTTCCATCTAAGGCAAGCAACTCATCAAATTTATTAGAAGTGTATTCTCCACCCAAATCACACTTAAAACATTTGATAACAACAGAATGTTGAGTTTTGACAAGAGCTCAAAATGCTGTATATATCTCAAAGAATTCAGAATGATGTTTCATTAAATAAATCCAACAATAATGCGTATGATCATCAATAAAAAAAACATAATATCGAGACCCTCCTTTTGTGGCAACAGGAGAAGGTCCTCATACATCAGAATGAATCAAATCAAATGGAGAAGAAGAAACAGAAATACTTCGATTACAAGGTAAAGCTGAAAATTTTGTCAATTTACATTCATTATAATTAGAAATATCACAAGTTTGCAAATTTCTAAAAATCTCAAACGAGAAGATGAAACATGACCTAGACGAGAATGTCATAAATAAAAACTAAAAAAAGAATGACTCAAACGAAAAGAAGATAAATCAACACTAGCAACAACAACAATTGACACTTTTAACTCATCCAAAATATATAGTCCCCCCTTCTATGACCTGTCCCAATCAGCTTCTGAGACTGCAGATCCTACACATAATAAGAAAAACAGGAAAAAGTGACTAAATTACTAGAATCACATAACTGATCAACAGAAGCAAGATTTAATGTGAGTTTCAGAATATGATAAACATTAGGGAGAGACAAGTGAGGTGTGACAATAGAACCAACATCTGCTAAAGGCATAGGAGTGTCATCAGCAGTCATAACATGAATAGAAGATGAAGGAGATACAAAAGCAAAAGATGAAGAATCTGGAGACATATGATGTGAAGCACCATAATCCAAGATCCAAATAGAATGTGACATACCTGAAGAATTATGAGGCAATTGACCTATGGAAGAAGAAGCAGACATAGCGTGTGGCTGTAAAGAGAGAAATTTCTGAAATTGCTCAACCAAAGTACTATAATCGGTTAAAGGACTTGATGAAGCCACTACTGCAGTATTAGACTGTGGTGGTTTGTAACTCTGAGATGGTCTATGAGCATTAGATTGTGACTGGTTGCCAGGCTTCCAAGTTTGAGATTGTTGCTGCGATTGATTCTGCTGTCTTAACTTAGGACATTGAGCCTTCCAATGACCTTTCTGCTTACAGAAACGGCACTCGTCAAAGACAGTCCTTGTATAAGGCTTATTCTGATTATTATAGAATGGTTTAGAAGGTACTGCTAGCACAGAAGGATTAGAAGTAGAAAAACTTCCCTTTTTAAAATAAGACTTAAGGCCTATTTTTTCAGTCAATAACTCACTGACAACCGAGTCAACAGAAGGAAATGGAGAACGATACAAAATTGAACCTCTAAGTCCTTCAAAATCACTACGAAGTACCGTTAAAAATTGTACCAATCGTTCCTACTCTCTACGAGCAATATAGGCACCACATGCCTTTAATTTGGTCGATTCTGGAAGAGCCAATTGATCCCAAAGATCTGTCATAGCAGAATAAAACTCTTGAATACTCATATTCTTCTGCTGAAGAGCTCGTATGTCATTCTCCAATTGATACTACTTTGTAATATTTGATTAAGTGAATAATCTTTGCAGATGATCCCAAACCTCTTGTGCTGTCTCATACTTTGCCAATTGTGTACCTATAGAATATGCTCAACAGAATTGTTAATTCAAGTAATAATTTTTGCATTGTCTATTTTTCAAGCATCTATCAAAGCAGCATAAACCACATCAGTATTCTTAGGTTTCACAGAAGTTTCACTAACATATCCCCGCATCTTTTTACCCTTAAAAAAAGTTCTCATCACATAACTCTAATACGAATAATTTTTTCCATCCAACCTCACACTCACAGGCTGAAGCGAATCGTCTCTTTCAGTAGCCATAATCAAAAAACAAAGAAAACCAGATTACAAAAACAGAACAAATGCCTTCTCAAAAAAAAAAAATTGAATACGCGTAAGCGTTGTTTGAGATTAAGCATTTTCCCATGAAACTTTGTTTTGATACCATATTAAACAATCTAATAAAAGAGAAATACAAGAGATAAGAAAAGAGGATGTTAGGGTTTTATTGATACTGCATAATTCAATTGAATACAAAAAAGTGATTTAACCTAAATATAAAAAGACTATATATAGGCTAAACAAAGAGAAAGTAAAGGACTATTCTACCCTTAATAAACAAAATAACCAATAACCCTATATTTCTTAACAATATGCAGCTCCAAGATCCAACTCACATATGCTCACAGTAGCACCTCCTTAGGAGTCACGTCCACTGAAAGGTTGAGATAAATCTAACTCGAATCGAAATTGCCCATAAAATCATAATAATAAAAATACTATGCTATTATTTTAAAATATTGAGAAGAAGGACATCGTAAGAGAAATCAAATAAAAATCAAATAAAAGGATAAATTGATGGAACATATAGCAAATGAGGCAAAGGACTAATTGGGAACATAGCCGATCCGCACCGACTACTCAGTTAGGCAGCCTCCGATGGCTTCTTTATATAACTTTTTTCCTTGTAACAATTAGTCCATTAAAACTAAAATTAATGGTAAAATTGAATCTGTCGTTCAAGAATCCAATTATAACGGTTGTAACTGAAATAAAATAATTAGAAAGTTTTAAAAAAACTTTAATTTATTCCAACAGTTACTCCTCCCTCTCTCACCAGTTTCCATTACAAGCCATTATGCCTCTTTGTGTCTGTCTCTCAATTTTCCGACGACTCTCGAAGTGGCGGCCACTTCTATTCTACACCATGGCGTGGACGGTCCTTCTAACGGCAACAGTGGCAGTGGCATCGTTCTCGGCCGAGATTGCATTTGTGATTGCCGTGTCACCGTCTTCGTCTTTCTCGCGGCCTTGTAATGTGGTAAGAACCCGGATTCCGGTGGATGTTCGTGTGCTAGCCGGTTCACTTGGTGAAGAGGTCTGGTTCGGATGTCATTGTGCCAACCGTTTTTGTTGCTTCGGTTGTGGCCGGTTCTACATGCATGATTCGAGCCGTGGGCTTGTAAAGCTCACCAAAGCAGTTGATTTGATTTGATACTTACTGGAGGTATTTGGCATGATATGATTGGAGGATAGGGAATTTAAAAATTACAAAAGTGCCTAGAAAATTGATTTTTTTTTTTTTTTGAGTAATGCTACATGAACTTAAAAATTAGACTAAACAATTAGAACCATTGATTTTACTGTGGGTCTCAGCATTTATTGGGACTCACTACATATTCAATAGTTGAAATTATTAAATTCACGTATCATTATTCTTTTTTCTTATAAAGTCCTACCACATGTGATGCACAAAATTTGTCTTTCCCGCCATCAACTCATTTTACTTCTTTTTAACCCTCATATTTCTAAAAAATTACTCATTAATGGATTAAAATAATATTTTTTAAATATAAAAAAGTGAAGAAATATGAGTAAAACATTAAATTTGAAATAATTTTAAAAAATAGTGGGCGTAATTCCAAAAAAATAGAGGGAGTATTTAAATAAGCCACATAATGTGATTGAAATGAGTTAATTAAATATTTTAAAATTTTAAAAATTAAGAATTTAAAGAAGGAAGACTTGAAAAGGTTCTCTTAGTTTTCTTCTTTAACGACGGTCCGTTATACCGAGCTCAATCTAAAATTATAGATTAAGCCCAACTCAAAGGCCCAGTTTACAAATATAAATTAGACCCAGATCAAAAATACAACCCAACAATGACCAAGCCCATCATCTTGGAAAACTTAGTCTACTAGTGATGCACGTAGGATCTCCATCTTAACAAAGGAATCAAGGCAAACATTGCAAACCTCAACTATCTCGTTCGTTTCTCCAACATCAAGAGTCATCCACTCCCGTTACAAGGGTGACGCATTAACCGGGGCTTCTCGCGATGACGCTTCCATCAAAGCTTGCTCTAAGGCAACATGAAGATTGTGCTCCCCTATAAGTTGTAAGTCTCACATACACATGTAAGGCATCACACACATCTCAGCATACCACATTCTTGTGCAATAAGATGCTCCGACCACCGTAGTCCTTTCTAGTAAAGTAAGTCACCTAAATCGAATCCACCCAATCTTTGTATTTGCATGTGTTAAGCCCTTCTTACCTCATCCATTGATTGATTTTGCAAAAATACTTTTGTGCATCATCACTTTTATTTCAAGACAATGTATAGATTGAATTATGCATCATACATATCTTCATAAGATGTCCAGAGTTGCTTTTGAGTAGTGATTTATTGTTTCAATTCTGCTTCATTTGGACTCATAGCTAGCTATTACACAACTATTGAATGCGACTTCTAATCACGTATATCGATTAAACTTGTATTATACATGTCATATTAAGGCTTATTTATTTATTTTTTTGGGTACATTGGAAAGTGAAAACAGAGGGGTTGGTTAGACTCTCTTTTGAAAGACATGCATGTCAAGGTTTTGTAAAAAAGAGATACATGCGCAGGGATTTACATCCCGTTTGTTTGACCACTGAATTAATCTTGTTGATTATCGTAGGTGTTGTTACATTTACTCAAAGCTTTTAGATCAAATATTATATTATTTTCTCTTCCAATCGTTACCAAAATTTTTGAGCAAATTCATAAGTATAAAGGACAAGATGATAACCTACGAAACACGTATACTTTGTTGAGGTTGACGTACTTGTATTAGATACAATACTCGTCGAATACTCGAAGATATGTATCGGATACACCTTCTACGTATCCGATAATAATTAAATATTATGATACATTATGAATAATTTTGTAGTAGAGAAACATATATAATTTTTTAGTTAAACTTTTAACATCTCTTTTCGAATTCACATACCATACAATAACATTAACAAAAAAATTATATTACTTCAAAGGCACATGAGTTTTTTAAGTATTATCTACAATTACATGTCAAAAGAGCATAAAATAAAACTATTACATTATAATCTTAGCAAAAATAACTTCTAAATACTATGTAAATATTAGTTTTGATTCTTTTAATTAGTCTCTTCACTTTGTGAATATACCACAGTGATACGATATAAATTTTCTTGAAAACTAAAAAAAATTACTAATTTTTTTTTTATTATATGGNCTCTTCACTTTGTGAATATACCACAGTGATACGATATATATTTTCTTGAAAACTAAAAAAAATTACTAATTTTTCTTATTATATGGTAAAAAACTACCAAAATATATGAGTGTTATATTAGTTGAAAATAATAAAAATATTAAATATATTTTATTATAGCCATATTTTAGTCGTATCTGTATCATATTTTTTTTGACTTTGTCGTATCGTTGTATCCGTATTGTATTCTACCCGTATCCGGTATCCGTATTCGTGTTTTAGATGATAACTAACCGGGATGAATGAAGAAAACACAAATGGCAAATTACACTTTGACCCTCTTAACTATGACTACTTTTTCATATTGCTCTCTCAGCTATTATATTTTTTATATTACACCATCAACTATATAATTAGTTTCCTATTCTCCCAATTAATTAATGTTCATTGTAAATTTGATGGAAAGTAGTTTCATTTTTTCTATTGAACTATGCAATTTTTTTTTCAGTTTACACTATGAAGTTGGTAATTTCTATCCAAAAAAATAGCGGATATTTGTTTTTTGGGCAATGTGAAATAATTCAAGTAGTTGATGAAGAAAAATAAAAATTTGAACAGTTCATGAGACAAAATGAAATCAAGTCCATACTTGAGGGGGTCGAAGTGTAATTTTCACAAAACCAACTTTGCTAAATTGACCAGATATTTTAACTTAATTTTGTGACCTAAAAAATATGGTGTGCTCACGTCCAACAAATAAAGGGTTGAATAACTTCTTCTTTTTTTCAATAATACTATTTAAACCTAATTTGTTTACTTAATTCATAATAACCATTTATTTGGTAGCGAATTTTAACAAATACGGAAGCCCATTATCAATCTAATAGGTATAAATAATTAGGTCAATAAATTATATCTAATTTGGTAGCCAAGTAGTTCGCGTGTCATATAGACAATTTGGTCGCGATTAGGCCGATTAGCCCCCCCAACCCCCCAAATTAATGCAATTTTCATAAGCTTTGGTGCCTGAACATCAGAAAAAAACAACCTAAGCATCATCGACTTCCTTTACTTGACCAACTACCTAAATACTACCCAGGCTCATCAAGCTGTGTTTTTTCGCTTTCTTCAGGATTCGGCCCGATCTGTTTGCAGATTCTCTGTAGGAGGAAAATGGGTTCCCATTAGGTCACAGATCCAAAATGGTAAAGTTGCCAACTTGCTCACTACCAGTTGGGTGTACTGTATTACTCATTAAAGGTTTGGCTGCACCTTTCAGCGTTACGACTGGTAATAGGAATGCTATAGATTAAACGGAATTTGGTTCTCTATTGCCCAGAAGAACATGGAGAATGTTTTACATACATAATTTCTAACTGGAGTACCACCAATGTCCCACGTTGCATTTTGGACGGAAAAGACCAACTAATGAAGAAACTATTGGTAAATTGACCTTCGTTAGACAGAACCTTTGCTAGGAACTGAAATGGATCACTAGCTTGCAGTGCTAAGTGAATTCAACTTTCGTCCGATTCATTCATTTCTTCACTGTTTTGTATATACCAGCTAAAAAATTTATTTAACGATGAAAATTTCTTATACTTAAAGGCTAAGAGGAAATCGACCCCCAGAAATTTGTCATCATTCCTGGCCAGCTGGTTTACGTCAACAAACTTGTGCATAAAAAATGAAAAACAACATATGATTAGCCCTTTATAATACTGCCCCTGTCTCCGTAATAAATTCTCTTAACGTTAGACTGATAATAAAAACTCCTCTATCAACTGCATAAGAGCTCCCAAGGCTCACTTCCTCTTGTTAGGGTCAATTGTTTGGCTTAAGCCACTTCTTGTTTGGTAAGCGGGATGTTTATCCAGGCGTCATAATCTTGCCTAATNAAAGGTTTGGCTGCACCTTTCAGCGTTACGACTGGTAATAGGAATGCTATAGATTAAACGGAATTTGGTTCTCTATTGCCCAGAAGAACATGGAGAATGTTTTACATACATAATTTCTAACTGGAGTACCACCAATGTCCCACGTTGCATTTTGGACGGAAAAGACCAACTAATGAAGAAACTATTGGTAAATTGACCTTCGTTAGACAGAACCTTTGCTAGGAACTGAAATGGATCACTAGCTTGCAGTGCTAAGTGAATTCAACTTTCGTCCGATTCATTCATTTCTTCACTGTTTTGTATATACCAGCTAAAAAATTTATTTAACGATGAAAATTTCTTATACTTAAAGGCTAAGAGGAAATCGACCCCCAGAAATTTGTCATCATTCCTGGCCAGCTGGTTTACGTCAACAAACTTGTGCATAAAAAATGAAAAACAACATATGATTAGCCCTTTATAATACTGCCCCTGTCTCCGTAATAAATTCTCTTAACGTTAGACTAATAATAAAAACTCCTCTATCAACTGCATAAGAGCTCCCAAGGCTCACTTCCTCTTGTTAGGGTCAATTGTTTGGCTTGAGCCACTTCTTGTTTGGTAAGCGGGATGTTTATCCAGGCGTCATAATCTTGCCTAACCATTTGGCCGAAAATATCTTTGTATGATAGCAAGCTGTTTAGCCACTTGCATCGATTTGAATCCATGGAGTTCTTCAACTCACCATTACTCTAGAAGATATTGACCGCAAAAAAATATTGGATTATTAGTTTAGGAATTGAAAAAATTGTAAAAAATTTGACAACCATACAATATTAGTTTTGGGTAACATGTTGAGATGTTCAAGCTATTAAGGACAAGATAATAGAATCCAAGATATCTGTCATTATGTACATTAGGATAAGTGTAAATAATGACAAGTGTAAAATTTTGTCTTTATCGGGTTTTATTACCGAGAAATAATAGATTAGAAGGTGCACCTGTGGGGCATGTTTGGTTCACGGATTTAGGTGGGATTCATAGAATGGATTTTGTCAAAATAATTCAATGCATCACTTTATTCCTTGTTTAATTGCTGATTTCCGGTCCGAGATTTGAATCTCGCCTAGTAAGAGCCCTGCAAGTAAAATTCATGTACAAGGGTTTCAACAAACCCATGGGAGGATGGGTTTGGGTGGATTTAGCCAATTCTATAGCAAATATCTGATGACATTTGCTATTAATCGGTGGATCTCATGTGTATTTGTGTCCTTTATCAAATATAGAATTGGATATGGCCTATTGTTCAATCCCAAGAACAAAACCTAAGAGTTGAATTTGGAAGAGTTTCATAANTCTCTCTCTCTCGTGTTAGTGTGAGATATGAGTGCATGAGGCCATATAATCCAATAGGCAACAGTTAGGAATGAACATTCGTGGACTATAATTTATGTTTAGAGATGAGGTGTATACAATAAAGCGTTTCACAGACATTGATTAAATAGGCAANAAATTTAATTCAATCTAATAAAATTGGAACGATACAAAGAAGATTTGCATGGCCCCTACGCAATGATGACACACACAAATCGNCAAGAACAAAACCTAAGAGTTGAATTTGGAAGAGTTTCATAAATTTAATTCAATCTAATAAAATTGGAACGATACAAAGAAGATTTGCATGGCCCCTGCGCAATGATGACACGCACAAACCANTGATTTTTCAACAAGTCACATGATGAAGTGACTCAACACTGATTCAAATAAATTACTGCTGAAATGATAACACTCAAAAGAATGTGATTTTGCATCGATGTNGAGAAATAATTCAATCCTTACCTTAAAAATTATCTAAACAGCCCCTTGGAGCTTTTGATCAATCCTTAAATGTACACACGATTTGTAAGACCACGTATATTTTTTGTATTCTATTTTTTTCCCTCTTTCCTTTTTTTGAGTTATGTTCTAAATTGCTACATCTAATTTAGTGGGGTTCACTATCAATCTAATGACAAATAATGATAAAGTTACTAAATAAGGTTCATGTAACATTGCACTCAATCGAAAACAACAGTCCCAAAAACAATTAACTGACTGATACTAACATCAATTAATTCTTCTCCGTATGTATGTGGGCCAAATGATAGTATAAAAAGAAAGTTTGAAAGCTTAGATTATTCATTGCAAAACAATGGAACAACATTTGCTTCCCTATAGCTATGCATGCGCTAGTATTGTATTGCTTATATGCATTCGTCTCTGTTATGATCTGTTGCTGAAGCCTCAAAGGCTTCGATTAAAGCTTCGAAGGCAAGGGATTGATGGTCCCAAACCTTCCTTTATGATGGGTAACATTCCTGAAATAAAGCACATGAAATCGATGGTCAAGCTTTCGGAGTTTTCAAGCGATAAATGGGAACAACCTCCACCACTCGACACTTCTTCCATTCTCTTCCCACATTTCAATCAGTGGACTAAGCAATATGGTATAACTCACATTTCTTGTCGTTTATTATCTATCTTTGTTTCATATTCTTCAAGTTTACTTGTGTTGGACTTTTTGCACCACTCAAAGTCAATACATGTATTTTCCAGTCACAAAATTCGAATTCGGATCATTTCAAACAAATAATGTTTCTTTGTTTTTTCATCTGATTAATTATGATTTCACTGAAGGTCATATGTTAATTAGTTTTGTTATTATGATTGGCGAATTTAGGGTGATTGGCGTAGACATTTGCCCTCCAAAACTTTTATCTATCATAATATTGTGAACAATGACACTCTCAAATTACATAAGCTAGCTTATCCCTCAATTTTTTTTACAACAATAATTGAAGTCTTTTCATAAATTCTTGGATCCGTCGCTGACAGCAGACATATTGTGTCATACCAGGAATAACTTTTTCATTTTCCCTTGGGAGGGTACGAGTGTTGTATGTGGCAGATCCTTATCTGGTGAAAGAAATAAACCAATGCAAGTCACTGGACTTGGGGAAGCCTGCGTATCTACAGAAGGACAGGGGACCTTTATTAGGCAAGGGCCTAATTACCACCAACCGTGGAGTTTGGTCACATCAGAGAAAAACCATAGCCCCTCAGCTCTACATGGACAAGGTTAAGGTATAATTTTGTTCCACTCGTCAATGTTTATTAAGAATATGACCAAATAGTTGTTGGTCACATATGGCTGTCAATGTTTTTAGTTAATTAATCCAGTTTCATGCCTTGTATGTAATGTCTATAAACCATGTACATAGCTGATTTCTGTTGTGTTAAGTTGGATTCCTGTTTACTAATCAAATTAACCTGTTAAACCTAAACCCGAACTCTCCAATATCGTGCCGTTTCATTAGAAACACGAAGCCTGAATGCACATATGATGGATTTAATCGCTGTAACCACTTATTGCAGGATATGTTGAATATAGTGGTGGAGTCTGCAAGCACATTGGTGAAATCATGGGAGAGTGTGGTTGAAAGTGAGGGTGGTACTGCAGACATAAAAGTGGATGATTATGTGAGAGAATTCACATCTCATGTATTCTCCAGAATTACGTTTGGGAGCAATTATTCTATCGGGGCTGAATTACTTCCGAAGTGTAGAGCACTTATCAAGGCCTCAGAATCACCCACCATTCTCAATGGGCTTCCTTTCTATAGGTGCGTAACTACTGTCTCTCTCTCTCTCTCTCTCTCTCTCTCTCTCTCTCTCGTGTTAGTGTGAGATATGAGTGCATGAGGCCATATAATCCAATAGGCAACAGTTAGGAATGAACATTCGTGGACTATAATTTATGGTTAGAGATGAGGTGTATACAATAAAGCGTTTCACAGACATTGATTAAATAGGCAGCATTAATAGATTGTTGTTGTTGGAGTTACATGATTTTTCAACAAGTCACATGATGAAGTGACTCAACACTGATTCAAATAAATTACTGCTGCAATGACAACACTCAAAAGAATGTGATTTTGCACCGATGTGTAGTTACAATGAACGACACTATACCAGTTTGTATTCACAATGACAAAACCTTTTTGACACTTCACTGATGCATCGAGGACATGTGCATCAGATTCAATAAGTTAGTACTCAATGTTGATTAATGCTGAACACTATGATGAAGTTGCCTCTTGTATTTGCATGATTATTCAGCAAACAAATTATTGTGAATTTTTTGGTTCAGATATCTTCCAACCAAGAAAAATAGAGATTTGTGGAGACTAGAGAAAGAGGTTCACTCGATGATCATAGATACAACAAAGAAACTTAACGGAGCTGTGGCCGACGACATGATACAAGTACTCATGGATGGTGCCAAGCGTGGTGAACTTGGGCCATCGACACCTGAAAAATTTATAGTTGATAATTGCAAGGATCTTTACCTTGCTGCATTTGAGGTCACTGCCATTGCCACAATATGGGGTTTAATGTTATTGGCTTCACATCCCGAATGGCAAGCTCGTGTTCGTGCTGAAATTCTGGAAGTTTGTGGGGGAAATATGCCGGATGGTGAAAAGCTTGGCAAGATGAAAGTGGTATGCGCCAGAACAACATGAACATACCATGAATNTTATCCCTCAATTTTTTTTACAACAATAATTGAAGTCTTTTCATAAATTCTTGGATCCGTCGCTGACAGCAGACATATTGTGTCATACCAGGAATAACTTTTTCATTTTCCCTTGGGAGGGTACGAGTGTTGTATGTGGCAGATCCTTATCTGGTGAAAGAAATAAACCAATGCAAGTCACTGGACTTGGGGAAGCCTGCGTATCTACAGAAGGACAGGGGACCTTTATTAGGCAAGGGCCTAATTACCACCAACCGTGGAGTTTGGTCACATCAGAGAAAAACCATAGCCCCTCAGCTCTACATGGACAAGGTTAAGGTATAATTTTGTTCCACTCGTCAATGTTTATTAAGAATATGACCAAATAGTTGTTGGTCACATATGGCTGTCAATGTTTTTAGTTAATTAATCCAGTTTCATGCCTTGTATGTAATGTCTATAAACCATGTACATAGCTGATTTCTGTTGTGTTAAGTTGGATTCCTGTTTACTAATCAAATTAACCTATCNATAGTGAAGTTCCATGTCATTTTGAGAAACTTGATAAATGTGGGGTTGATATTGAAAGGATTCCAAATGTGGAGGTATATGAAGTGCCGTAAAATTCAATGTCAAAAAAAAATTGCCAATCTAGAGAAATTTGAAATGTGGGGATGCAAAATAAAATGTTATAAGTGATACTGAATGAAATTTGAGAGAGTGACTCCTAGTAGATTGAAGATTACTGGCCAAACTAAAAAGCGGTTCCCAGTATATAGAAGACTACTAGCCATAATTACGAAGTGATTCCTATTAGTTTGAGAACTACTGACCATAGTTGAAAATAGTTCCTAGTAAGTGAGAGATTATTGGCCACAATTTAAAAATAGTTCCTAATAGTATGACTACTCACTATAATTGTTTGGACTCGAAATATTGGACCTCTTGTCCTAACTGTTAATTTGTTGTCGCGATTCATTCAAATAAAAGGACTATTTTATATGTTGGACAGTTAACCCCNAACTTGGGCCATCGACACCTGAAAAATTTATAGTTGATAATTGCAAGGATCTTTACCTTGCTGCATTTGAGGTCACTGCCATTGCCACAATATGGAGTTTAATGTTATTGGCTTCACATCCCGAATGGCAAGCTCGTGTTCGTGCTGAAATTCTGGAAGTTTGTGGGGGAAATATGCCGGATGGTGAAAAGCTTGGCAAGATGAAAGTGGTACGTGCCAGAACAACATGAACATACCATGAATTCATACACCCGTTTGGTCTGCATCCAATCTACTCCTCCCGAAATTGACTAAATGAGACTAAATTGAGTGTTAATATTTTAATTATATTGCACGGGTGATTTTCTGCAATGGATTAAGATAGCAATCTTCAGGGTGAATTCGATGATTGATCCTGAAACAGGGAATAATGTCAAAAAAGGGGCTGGCCAGGGTACACCCGGCTTATCCTTTTCAATGCTTTAGTCAATCGATACTTAAGTATGAGCATGTTAGAATAATTTAATATAAAAAAAAAATTGAATAATTATTATATATGCCCAACCAGAATGATATTTTCATTATTTATATTTCATAGGATTCTTTAAAAATGGTTACATATGTGTGTATGTATATATATATATATACACGTGTCATCATCAAACATTATTAATATTTTTAATGTGTGNTATTTCATAGGATTCTTTAAAAATGGTTACATATGTGTGTATGTATATATATATATACACGTGTCATCATCAAACATTATTAATATTTTTAATGTGTGTTGAAGTTGGGAGTAATGGCTCCAAACTAGCCGTTTGAGATTAGCCTATATTAAGGTATCACTACAACTCATTTTTGGTGGATTCTTAACGAAGGAGATACACTATTTTCTATATTTTTTCATACAAAATATTCGTCTATTTGTTGTATAATTTATATGTGTTTTTTTGGGCAACTTGGGTTGTGGTCGTTCGTAATAGAGAGGTTCATGTCTGCATTGTAGTTTCTCTAGAATTGTTGTATTTTGNTATATTTTTTCATACAAAATATTCGTCTATTTGTTGTATAATTTATATGTGTTTTTTTGGGCAACTTGGGTTGTGGTCATTCGCAACAGAGAGGTTCATGTCTGCATTGTAGCTTCTCTAGAATTGTTGTATCTTGAAAAAAAAAACGTCAGAGTACTCTGTGCAAAGGGCGTATCTTTTCTTAGGACATCGCTTTTGACATGCCTCAATCCAGACTATTCTAAACTTATCTTCATGTGAATTTCTATTATCTTCCTGTGAAACATAAGTCCAATTAATTCTTTACCAACATTATAAATCAAATTATTTCCAACAATCTAAGAAGAGATATAAATATTGTTGGTTTAGAGTGGCATACAAAATTTTACTTCTTCATTTACTTGGGTCTTACATATATTTTTATTTGGAATATGAGTATTGTAGAATTCAATGATAACTCGATAAAGATGAAGGTTGTTTTTGAATAATTACTGATAGATCTCCTTAATTTTAAATGTGATATATATTTGTTTAAATTATCGAGAATTTAAAAAGAAAAGNGTATTGTAGAATTCAATGATAACTCGATAAAGATGAAGGTTGTTTTTGAATAATTACAGATAGATCTCCTTAATTTTAAATGTGATATATATTTGTTTAAATTATCGAGAATTTAAAAAGAAAATCCCTAGTTTTTAGAAGTATTCTATTTTAGGTATGGAAAAATTAAGAGCTTTGGGGAGAAATTATAAGAAATATTAAAGTTTTGTGGCTGATTTATAATCTATGAAACAAAGAGCAGTAAAGTGTAATAAAAAAATATAATTACTGATACTTACTTAAGGTCGTCGATTAGGTGAAGGAAAAGAAAGAAAACAAGAAANAACAAAGAGCAGTAAAGTGTAATAAAAAAATATAATTACTGATACTTACTTAAGGTCATCGATTAGGTGAAGGAAAAGAAAGAAAACAAGAAAAAGAAAGGGAAAGGAAAGGGAAAAAAGTTATGCGTTATTAAATCTTAAAAGAAATTGGGAGTTTAAATTTTTGATTGTTACGAATTAACTGCTAGTTATTTACTTGTGGACGAGTGATTCTCCTTCATAAAGTTACTTGAGGAGTTTTTATTATATAAATATATGTTACCATGTATATGACCATTGAACACTTGTTAATGAAATTAAAATAACGAAGAGATTCTTGACCTTTAGTAACTTTAATATAATAAGACTCTTAAATATCTGTTAGCAATTATTTTACACTGCTGAGTTTTTAAGTTTCTAGATTTCATACTTGGGCATTTCCAACTCTTGAAGGAAAATGAATGGTACAACATTTTGAACTCTTCCTGGTATTGGAACAATTAATTCTCTTTTATAGCTGGAGTGATTTTTTAGGACAAATTGATTGTCATAATAAGTATACTTTTGTGAAATTATTTTAAAGGTAGTCTTTAAGTATTTGACAACACTTGTTTGAGTAAGAGTAAAAGATGTTTACAAAATGCTCTCACGTGCTTAAAAACGAGCAATCCACTTATAATTTGCGTTGAAATTTGATTTTGAATCTAAATATTTATATGTGCCACAACAATAATACATAAAACATGATGCCTTTGTATAATTTTGAGAAAGAGTTAAATTTTCATTATATTTAATTGTTAGGTTTACTAAACCTATTGTTAATTTTCAGATTGTGGAGATTAATAAATTATAGTGAAGTTCCATGTCATTTTGAGAAACTTGATAAATGTGGGGTTGATATTGAAAGGATTCCAAATGTGGAGGTATATGAAGTGCAGTAAAATTCAATGTCAAAAAAAAATTGCCAATCTAGAGAAATTTGAAATGTGGGGATGCAAAATAAAATGTTATAAGTGATACTGAATGAAATTTGAGAGAGTGACTCCTAGTAGATTGAAGATTACTGGCCAAACTAAAAGGCGGTTCCCAGTATATAGAAGACTACTAGCCATAATTACGAAGTGATTCCTATTAGTTTGAGAACTACTGACCATAGTTGAAAATAGTTTCTAGTAAGTTAGAGATTATTGGCCACAATTTAAAAATAGTTCCTAATAGTATGACTACTCACTATAATTGTTTGGACTCGAAATATTGGACCTCTTGTCCTAACTGTTAATTTGTTGTCGCGATTCATTCAAATAAAAGGACTATTTTATATGTTGGACAGTTAACCCCAGAGCTCTTATGGGATTGAGAACTATAAGAGTAGACCATCTTGTTAAAAGGCTAGTAAAAGCTACTTCTAAATTCATAGAGGGAAATGAGACTGAAGTTTATAAGTTTGTCATCACAATGAACACCTAACCTCTGTGATTGGAGATCCCCTAAAAGAGGTTCAATAGGTAAGAACGAAGTTGTATAATGACTATGGTGAGCACTGAAATTATAATAGGGAAATTCCCTAATCTCATTTCTAAGGTGATAGTACTTAAAACTGTGATGATAATAAAAGGAAGAGTTAATCTCTCAATGAGGTCAAGGCAGGATTCTGCAGGGTATTGATCACAGAATATTCTTGAAAGACTCATCTATATGTATGTTTGTAGTGAGGCCGCTAATACAAGATATAGGCTAATCCTTATTAGAACATACATGAAATCAAGATACAAACGCATGACCATAAGAGTGCAAAACTGATTAGAACTTGACCTAATACTTGTACCATGTGTTTGACAAGTAGAAAATTGAACTAAAGAATCTAGTTTAAGACTTGTTCACTATGATCCTTTCAAATGGAAGCTTATTAGGTTAAGTGACGGTTCAAGTCTAAACGACACCTATCACTCATTGCATGATATTGTTGTCCAAATTTAATTTTATTTAATTTTAAATAATGTGGGGGATTGTTAGAATAATTTCATATTAAAAGAAAATTTTTGAATAATTATTATGTATACCCCACCACAATAATATTTTCATTATTTATATTCTATAGGATTCTTTAAAAACGGTTACATATGTGTAGATATGTATATATATACATATACATATATATATATATATATATATAATAGTTTAATATGTGTGTGTGTGTGTGTCGTCATCAAGCATTATTAATATTTTTAATGTGTATTAAAGTTGGGAATAATGGCTCCAACCTAGCCGTTTGAGATCAGCCTATATAAGGCTATCACAACAACTCATTTTGGAGGATTCTTGATGAAGGAGATACACTATTTTCTATATTTCTTCATACAAATATTCGTCTATTTATTGTATGATTTATATGTGTTTTTTTGGACAACTTGGGTTATGATCGTTCGCAATAAAGTGGTTCACGCATGCACCATAACTTCTTTGAAATTGTTGTATCTTAGGAAAAAAACGTCGGACTGCTCTGTGTAGAGGGGGCATATCTCTTCTTAGGACAGCGTTTTTGGCGTGCCTCAATCTAAGCTATTCTAAATCTTGATATGAATTTCTATTATCTTCATTGTAATTTATTTGTTTGTTAAATGATATTAAAATTTTCTTGTGAAACATAAGTCCAAATGACTCNGAGTGAATCTCCTCATCCGCAAGATATGACCTTGGAGATATATATGACATATCAATAATCACGTCGTGATATCACCGTTCTGATCTTTGTACGAAGTTGTGTGTGATACTGTGATTGTCATGGNCTTGCTTGTGTACCTTAGTTTGATCTCAATGGGGTATTTATAACTTTCATAGCAATGAGGTGACACTCATTCAATCTCCAATCTTAGGCTTTATACCCTATATCCTCTATCTAGAGTAATACGTGTTATTCCGTCACGACTTTTTAATGTCAAGTGATTGGACATCTGAGTTTACATGTTGAGATTTGATTATGCACTTATTACTTTATCTCCTGAACATCGAGTGTTATACCTCAATATTTACCGTTTATCGTCGATCATTTATGAGTAGGCGCACGGATCACTGCAGGGACTNTTATGGGGGAGAGGGGGGTTTGGTGTCCTCTCACTTTATTAGTAGTTGAGTAATAGTTTCCTAATATTAGTTTGTTTTTTTTTTGTAGTGAACCTCGACAACGCGAGGGAAATTTGTTGATTAAAAAATTAAATTACACCTAGTCAAGAAAGTCGTATGTACAATTTAATTACAATCTAATTACATAGAATAAAATTGAAAAGAGAGAAAAAATGCATGCTGAGTACATGATAAATGAAAGAAAATAAATCCTAAACATTCAGCTCCTAAAATGGCAACTACGGTGTGGGCAGCATTAAAGACCAGTTACAAGAGAGTGTAATGGAGTTGATATTTGGAGCCGAGAGAACCAATAGCCTGAGCTGTGAAAAATGACTGAGCTGAGGAGAACTAGCTAAGAGAAGGAGAGGACTGGTAAGCCTTGAGCTGTGAGCTATAACTGAGGCTGCTAAATGAGCTAAAATAAGAAAATAGCATAGGCTGCTATCTAGCTGAGAGACCATCTGATAAGGCCAGTCCATTCGCCTGAATAAAGGTAGATGCTATAAAAGTTGGAGTTAATCTCATTTTACATTCTGAAAGATTGTTTAAATCTCAATTTATACCTTCAAAGATCAAAAATTTTAATTTACATCCTCAAAGATAAAAATTTGTATCAATGTGCACCCCCAAAGATCAAAAATCTCAATTTGCATCCTCAAAGATAGAAATTTATATCAATTTGCACCCCAAAGATAAAAAATCTTAATTTACACCTTCAAAGATATAAATTTGTATCAATGTGCACCTAAAATTAAATTGATAAATTATACCTAGATCCCCTCATACTTGTCACTTAACCATTTAGACATCTTCACATTTAGAATATTACTCCTACATCTTATGACATTTGTGCACGTATAACACGTAACTCATTTTCATTGATATCTATTAATATAACCGTTAAAAAATATAATTTTATCCTAATAAAAAATTATAATTTCATATTACCCTTTATTTTATGAGTTCAATATATTCTAAAGTTCAAAATCTAGTTTACCATTTGAATGTCTAATAAAATGTAAATATTTATATAATATTTTTCATATTACCTTTTATATAAATATCTACATTTTATTAGACATTCAAATGGTAAGCTTGATTTTCAACTTTAGAGTATATCGAATCCACAAAATAAAAGGTAATATGAAATTATAATTTTTTATTAGGATAAAATCATATTTTTTAACGATTATATTAACAGATATCAAAGAAAAGTGGTTATGTGTTACACATGCATAAACGTCATGAGATGTAAGGGGAATATTCTAAATGTGAAAGAGTTCAAATGATTAAGTGACAAACATGAGGGGATCTAGGTATAATTTATCAATTTAATTTTAGGTGCACATTGATACAAATTTCTATCTTTAAGGGTGCAAATTGAGATTTTTGATCTTTGAAGGTACAAATTGAGATTTGAACAATCTTTTAAGGTGCAAAATGATATTAACCCTAAAAGTTGTGACTTCAATCTTGAAGTTGTAATCTTAGAACGCAGGGATCTAATTTGTCTCTAATCCTGCCATAGCAGTTGCTTGGTTTGGATTGGTAGTGTTGTAGAAGAGGAATAGAACACAGAAGTTCTGTTCTGAACACCTAGATTCGCCAATGAGTCTGCCACAGTATTTTCCTCTCTATATGAATGTTGGATTTGAAAGTCAAAATACTCGAGTAAAGAAAAGATTTGATAATAAATGTTCCAGTGTCTCCAACTAGGCAACTTCTTCTGTTTAACCATGTCAACTAAAACCTGAGAATCACTTTCAATAGTAAGTGGATAGACCTCCAAACCAAACTCTTTTAACAAACGCAAACCATCAAGCAAAGATCTCATTTCAGCTTCCATATTAGTACAAACTCCATAGAAGAAGGATCCAGCTAGAACCAAAATACCCCAATGATTTCTCAGAGCCACTCCTCCACCAGAAAATCCTGGATTGCCATTAGAGGCACCATCAATATTGAGTTTAAGATTTCCTTCAGGTGGTAATACCCAACGTATCTATTTAGCATATTTGGATATGGTATAGACAAAGGAGACATTAAGAGAAGAAAGAAAAGATTGACCATAACCAGAGTCTACTACCTTGGGTGAGATATTATGAGCTTGCAATCTCCAAAAATGCATAATTCTATAATAAATAGAAGTTGAGTGTTACCCCTGCCCTTCAAAGATCCTCCTACACCCCTCTTTCCATAATTGCCAATATACAATCAAGGAGATACCTCTCATCAACGATTGAAAAAGCGATGGACGCTTAAAATTTCTTAGTCTAAGAAACCTTGTTATTGGAGATTCTCCTTGTATGATTTGAAATCCCAGTAAGGTAGAAAGTTTACTCCAGATGCTTAATGCATAGTCACAATTAATGAACATATGATCAATCGTTTCTTCATCCTTACAACATAAGACACATCTACTCACCATAGAGATTCCCATACTCCAAAAGGTAGAATCTATTGGCAAAGCGTTTCTCAAAATTTTCCAGCCAACCAAATGTGCACTAGGGGGTGAAACTTGCTTCCAAATTGATGCTCCCTGGACACTCTGCTAACCCTGACTTCCTATTACTTCCCAAGCTATTTTAACAGTAAAACAACCTGTAGATGTAGGCTTCCACACCAATCTATCTTGTCTATCAGAAATAGAGACATTAGAAGATAAAACCTCTTGAATATGTTCCTCATCCATCTCCTGTTGAACATCACTCAAGTCCCATTGGTTCTGCACCAAAACTTGGGACAGTTTAGGATAGCATGAAGGAACAGTAGAATTTCGTAAAATTAAAAGAACCAACCCTGTCCAATTGTCACATCAAAAGTCAATAGAGCTACCAGTCCCCACCATCTTCTGCGTTTTTTCCACTACTAATTCAAACCATGGCTGCAATTTTCTAAGACTGCTAAAGCGACTTGAACTCTAGTTCCTTAGAATGTGCTGATTATGTAGGAATTTAGCTGCAAATAACGATGACTATAAGGACGTATTCTGCATCAAACACCAGATCTGCTTCATTCTCAAAGCTTGCTGCGATTCCTCAAATTTTCTAATACCTAAACCCCCCTCCTCCTTTGGCAGTGTAACTATTGCCCAAGAACACCAATGTCTTTTCTTCACCTCAGACTTCCCAGACCATAGAAAGGCAGTCGTAATCAAGTTGAGTTTTGCTATAATTCCTTTAGGAAGGTTTAGAGTAGACAGTAAGTGGACAGGGGGAGAAGCAAGAACTGAATTGATAAGAGTAATCTGGCCCATATTAGAAAGTAATTTACCATACCATCCATGGATTCTAGTTTGGAACTTCTGTAATAACTCCTCAAAATAGATGATTTTGACCCTACCCTTGATAATAGGACAGCCCAAATAAGTGAAAGAACATGCTTTGAGTGGGATATCCGCTAAGCGAGATAAACTATTCCTTCTTGAAAGAGGGATTTTAGTTGAACAGTATAGAGAGCTCTTTTGTCTATTTAGCTTCTGCCCAGAAGAAGATTCATACCTTTCCACGAATTTCAACAAATTAGAAAATGATCTTTTGTCTCCCCTTAGGAAAATAAGCGTATCATCAACAAATAAGAGGTGATTGAGTAACTTTGAACCTCTGCCAGTGTGAAAGCTTCGTATTGTTCTTTCAAGAAATTTTTGTCTAAATCCGCTGCTTAAAACTTCCTCTGCAATAATAAATATAGGGGAAAGAGGATCACCTTGCCTTAACCCGCTTGATGTGGGAAAAAAACCTTGATTGATAAGGAAATGTGTTGGTTATTTAGACAATTGGAAATGATAAGGATAAATGTATTAGAAAAGTCAAAGCACTTCAAGGTATGCTTTAAGAAATCTCATTCAAGTCTGTCAAATGCCTTCATCATGTCTAGCTTGACTATAGTACTCCCTGCCTCCACCTTTCTATCCAATTCATTCACCATCATCTGAGCTATTGCAACACTATTGTTGATATTCCTTCCTTGAACAAAGCCTTGATGTTCATCTGAAATAAGCTTGGGAAGAAGGGTTCTCAATCTAGAAGACAGTAGCTTAGTAAGGATTTTGTATATGAAGTTAAAAAGACTTATTGGCCTAAAATCTGAGAAATTAAAAGAATTATCTTTCTTTGGAATAAGAGACAGTAGAACAAAATTAACCGATCTAAGAATCACTCCTCCTTGTAGAAAGAAGTTAGCTGCAACTGGTAAATCCTGCTTTATGATATCCCAAGCCACTTGAAAAAATTTACCAGAGAATCCATCCGGACCTGGAGCACTATGTACTGACATACCAAATACCACATCTTTAAGCTCTTCTAAAGAGACCGGAGCAATAAGCATGGCATAATCATCATTAGTTTATTTATTGTTAACTTTTCAAGTGAAACTACCCACTCTCTCTCTCTCACATCTCTCTTTTCTAGACATCTCTCCCTCTCACGTTTGCAAACACGACACTAAAAATGTTTCACATATATACTTGGGCACAGTATAAATTAAAAAAAGAGAGAGAATAAATTTTGTATAGTCGATTTGTAAACTAATGGTTTACATACAATCAATCAATGTTTGATAACTACACAAACACATAAACCAATATTGAGAATTCTTAATAAGTTTATGTAATTATCAAATGTTGATTGGTTGTCTATAAACAATTGATTTATAGGTCGCCGATAAAGAATTTATTCTCTAAAAAGAAATAATGTAATTGCATCAAAAAGAAATATATTCTTGAAGAGAAAAAGATTTTATATTCTCTCTCATGTACTTCGACGTATGAGGTATAAATTTCATGGTCCTGATTTTGATGCAAAGTTACGGAGACACCATGACATGACAGGACTACCAACGGTATCATTAAGGAGCAGTCCATAATCTGAGGTTGAGTCGCACAAGCCTTTCTCCCTTTTTTTCTTTTCTAAGGATTAAAAGTGTAATTAACCAAAAAAACAGAAGGAAACTGACCTTAAATAAACAGATCGCTACTTCATTTCCTCCATTCCTGTCATGAGAAGTTTATTTTTCTCTAATGTAGTTACTCCTCTGTCCCTCTCTCTCTCTCTCTCACCAGTTTCCATTCCAAGCCACTATGCCTCTCTCAATTTTCCGACGACTCTTGACATGGCGGCCGCTTCTATTCTACGCCGTGGCGTGGACGGTCCTTCTAACGGCAACAATGGCAGTGGCATCGTTCTCTGCCAAGATTGCATTTGTCTTGGCCGTGTCACCGTCTTCGTCTTTCTCGCCGCCTTGTAATGTGGTCGGGCCCAGGATTCCGGTGGAGATCGTGTGCTTGCCAGTTCACCTGGTGAAGAGGTCTGGTTTGGATGTCATTGTGCCAACCGTTTTTGTTGCTTCGGTTGTGGCCGGGTCTGCATGCATGATTCGAGCCGTGGGCTTGTAGGCTCACCATGATTTGATCCACAGGCATGCTCCTACAATACAAATACAATGTCTTGGGATATCACTAATTAATTATGAAATTACAAATAAGATTGATACTATTCCTACATGACAAAAGTAGTTATCGATAATTATTAAAACAGTGGAACCCAACTTGATATTTTATCATAGGTTGGTGACACTATGTTATATTGATGAGATAATATAACTGTTACAGTTAATATTTTTTTCTTATAAACGCTGCCCTTTGCCATTGTTTTATATTTTTTTAACTAGTGTCCAACCTAGTGCGATAGATTGGTCATCCCTTCTCTTCCTAATTCTTGTTTTTCATCATTTACTCTCTTGCAACTATTATTTTATAAGTTAATAAAAATATTGTATGAATTATTGGATAATAAAATTTGATGTTTAAAAAAATATAAATAAGTGTGGTATTTAAAGCGAGTTTATGGGTACTTGTGTAATTATTTTAGATAGTTATTGGAAGTATTTGATCGGACTTGCAATGGAATTTTTTTATTGAAATATTTGATAAAATACATAAAAAAAAAAATTAATTATGTAGCTAAATTAGATATTATCTCATATTTATGATACTTAAACTATTAGTATTTTTTCATAACTATAAACATCCAATGGGCTCAATTTCTATTATTTTTCATTCGAGCTACCAAATAGTAAGGATTCTAAATTTTTTTTTTCTTGATTTTTTTTTTTTTGGTCTTTCTTGTTTTTATTTTGTGCCTCAATAAGTTTTTTACCAAATTATTTTGATTGTGAATAAAGAGAAAAACTATATATATTCATTTTTGGGCATTAGAGATAATATTGTATCAATAAAGTTGTCAATGTGTATTAATATCGGAATTTTGAAAAAAAAATAATATTTTTTTTATATATTATGATAAGCATAACATGACTTTTCAAAAATTTTGTAAAGATACATAGATTTATATGGTTTGTTAGAGATTACTGTATTATTTAAATACATAGGGATATAATAGTAATTTAAATATTTAAATATAAAAGATTTGTTAGTCATTATAGTTTTTTATAAAGATAAAATATTGAATCAAAAATTTTTCATATTAAGGTACTTTTATTAGTAGTACTAATAATTACACACGTGTGTTGCACGTCATTTATTTCACGTTAGAATAAAAAAAGTAGATATATCAAGAAACAAAATCATTATAATGGCACACAATGATCTCATTCCCAAGTTGCAATGGTAAAGAATGCATTAACTAGCACAAAATATTTGCTCATTACTTATTGCTCTTAAAAAATGGAGCAACATCTCCACAATTTGTCCATCACATTCAACATGAACACACCCAATCGGAATTTGACCCCATTCTCAAGAATAAGGTCCTCTTACTGTATGAGCAGCTGGACTTGTCGGACCAAAAAAATAAGAAAAATAGTTAAAAACTATGAATGTAAGTAGAAACTTAACATTTTGTTGAAAAGTTAGTATTCTTATTACATCATTTAGGATAAAAGAAATTAAGAAACAGTACAATAGTAAAATAAACTAAAGCTATGAGAAGACAAGAAAGTGTATGAATTATAATAACACATTGGTAAGATTGAAAGTTAACTAAAATCAAAGTAAAGTTACTTACAATTGCATTGATTAAAATGTGAGGCATGAACCATATTAAGAGTGTCATTGTAGCAACCAAAGGGCAAAATTAACATTCCTTTTGACAATTCAAAAAATCACTTTAGGTGGAACACATGGAGATGTTGCCCAAGCACACACGAAGTAAACAAAAGCTCAACCATCTAGCTACACCAAATATATCTCCTCAAGAAGTCCATTCAACTATGTTAACCATAAGGAGTAGACTGTGGAAAAGAATAAAAGATAAATCAGGAGGTTCTTTAGCTTTAACACTTTGTTTTCCACCCAGTCAAATGAGGCTTTGCTATTTCCTTCCATACAAATGGCCCACAAAAAGCAAAATAGAGCTGTCTCAAATTCTAGTTGAAGTGGAACATATGGGCTACCCATCAGAATTTGCAAACCATCCCTATAACAACCTATGCAACTCAGTAAACTTAATAAAAATTGAATTTTTTTTAGTTTAATTGTATTGTTTCCTTGGAATTCGGACTGGAAATTCCAATTCTTACGACCAAATTAAATATGTCATTAACATTCTAAAGTCACTACCACCAAAAGAATGATAAACCTGAATTCCATAACACATCAAATTGAACTCGAACAATTTAAAAATAAAATCGAACTTCCACATACCTTGGCAAAAATAGAGAAATTGCACAAGCCGATCATACAATAGTTGACGACCAAAGGGTAACTGTTAGAAGAAAAACAAGGATCTTAGTTTGGAAGACACCCAAACTGAGATCAACTGTTGTTGCCGTCAAAAAATTCTACAATAGTGGTGGAAGAAAAATATCATAAATTACAATCCAAAAGTGACAAAATAAGAAGTATGTCAAGATAAAATGATTGAGGTATCTATACCACCACTATAGTTTAGTACCATTTTATTCATTTTTCACATAGAACTCTCCCCCTTTTGGAGCACCAGAAGCTTCGTTCTCTTTATCAAGCAAAAATCATTTGATTAGACAATGTATCAAAAAAGAGAAAAACTTGAATATATTTCATTTACTATCTCCACTTTGATTCACACAAAAACCCCTCTCAGTCTAATATCAATTCCGCTCCCACACCATCAAAGTAAGGCAGAAAATGAAAGAGCAAATGTTTTAAATCAGAAGTTCAATATTCATGCATACAATAATAATAAGAGCACTAATCACATTCTTCCGAATTTCAATCCACACAAACAAATGAAAATTTCACAAATAAGATAACACTATCTCCTTATATTAGAAGTCGTCGAATTTCTCATAGTCGTCTAAAATCATAGTCATGAAGTTTAGTGGATTCTAAAGCAACTATTTTATTTTGATTTTTCATTTTTGCTTTCTTTTTTCTTAATTGGGTTGGGTGAGTGGTTCTTGGTTACAAAATAAAACATTCACAATATCTAGAATGCTTCCAACATGTCTAGGCAGTGCAAGATTAACATACCAAAAGTAAGTGTGATTGCTTTGTCATGCATATAGTGACTATGATATTTTGCATCCACACGCACAAGAAGTTAGCACTACCGTGGGAAGAGTCACCAGCTTATAGAACAATTGTTGGCATACATGTATTCGATTGTTGGCCTCCAATTGCAAGAGGAATAGAATTAAACTGAAACAAATCAAGCACAATGAAATTTCCACGTTGCCAATTGCACAAAAAACACAAGAATATATTAATACCAATGTTGGATGTTGGGTAAATATTAATATTCGAAACCCTATAATTTTCTTGCCATCTGACCATGCTAGTCTTATGTATGTAGGAAAGGAAGATGATCGAAGAGTTCACCTGAACACAGATCTTGACCTACAATTCACATAAACAAAATTAAGCTAAACGTACTTCCAAAAAAATTTCTAAAAAAAATCCACTTGTAGAATACAGTACACCTTGATGGGTATATGTATCAAATGCCGAATTAGAGATTGAATGATTGAAATAAAGGAATGCACCATATAAAATCTCCCTGATGATTGGTGAAACTTACCATCAAATTCAAAACCAACACAAAACAAATCCATCTGCAATTGATCTTCATTGTAATGGCACCCTAGTCCAAGAAATTTGTGGCCAAATCACCAACACAAATTAATGCATCAGCACTATCAAACCAAGAATTTGATGGTAGGTTTTGCATCAGTTATATCTTCTCTAAATTATGACATTTAGCTGCAACTGCTTTGGTAATAGATTTGCTGGACCTGAGCTTCAAAGAATTGAAGCAAAATTTTCCTCCTCCATACAAATCATCACTAATTAAACACTAATGAAAAAAACAAATTGCAATGAGCTCTTTTAATTAATAGCTTATGACAGGAGCAAAATTAGTAGAACTTGATTTTCTTCAATGGAATTTTTATTAGGCACGATTGAACATTTTGTTTCAATTATGTTTTTATTTGTTTTCAAACCAAGTGGGAAGTAATATAATATTGAAGAGACTATAGACAGTGAGTAAAGTAATAACCTAACAGTTATTGGAGAGAGGAGACAAAAGTGCGGTAACAATCCAAATATGATGTGATGCTAAAGTTACCTCAATTTCCTGGCTTCCATTTTCACTTTTCTTCACTCATGGTTGTGTGAAATTTGTTTATATAAATGATATGTTGTCTAGAAGATAATTAAAAGGAGAGGAAATGAAACTTATAGAAATAAGCAAACGGTCAATTGGTCCGTAAGATAAAAATCTTAAACATTCAATTTTCTCTTTTCTCTTCTATTTTTCATAATTTTCAAAATTAGAAGTGAAAATTGTAGATGTCGATAAAGGATAGAGACCTCTAAAGATCCAGGCTTTTTGTGTGTGTGTGTGTGTGTGTGTGTGTGCCTAAAACCAATGACAAACTCTCTCTAGAGTCGATTGCGAAGCTGTCTTGCTTAGTTAAACAAATTAGAATTGAAGATCAAGTGCGATGAAGTCCTTATCTTCTAATTCTCTCTAGTCATGGGCATCACCCTTTTTTCGATGCACTACTGAGCACCTTCAATAGTTTGTCCTCATCCTTCATCCTTAGGATGCCTAAAATTCTCGGTCGTTACCTTTATTGCACAAAAATGAGGCAAGACAAAATGGAAATACATATTCTACAATGGTTACTGATGAGACATTTTCAGATATTCCAAGATGAAGACACGTGTCCTCGGCATCAGTAAATTCTTGTTACTGTAATCACGACACGTACCTGTCGGATCACGGGTCCCTCTTCCCCCGAGGTACTGTTCATAAGGGTCAATGACACCTAGTACATTACGTACCAACACGTATCCCTTGGTCGGATATGGGGTACATCGGTCTCTACATGTACCACTCCCCTCGGTACCTAGATGTACCTGTCCAGGATGGCGTTCTCTGCTCCTGCAGA